AGAAACCTGCCCTAATGACTGCGTAAGGCTTTGGGGGGACACCTAGATACAAACCATAACACAGGTAAGTAAAATCCTCCCAAAGGGTTATAACTTTCAGAAGTAGGTACTTTTCCATAAAATGGAATAAATGATCTGTGTACATACACATTATAATAATAAAATACTATCCAAATCTATATCCTTTTTAGTACTAAGATGTGGCTTAACCCTGAGTACAGATTTAAATGGGCATTTTACCTCTGGTTTTATCAGTGAATTCTGATGAGGCCTGAGCATAAAGAACTATATCCTTAGTCTCTATGTAATAACTTTTCCTTAGACCAAGATTAGAGCACTTTTTCTTCAGAAATACCTCTTCCAGTTATATTTTAGACCATCTCTCCACATGACTTTAATCTGCATTCTAAGGCATGAAAGAAAATGTTTTTTTTTTCTATGTTGATTCCATGAATTCTCCTTTTCTCTGTTTGCTCGTTTTCATACTGATTAGTTTTCCAAATAAATTTTATTGAAGAATGCAAAAGCAAACTTTAATGAAGTATGCACAAAGCACTTAAATTGTTAAACGCAGAGCTGCAAATTCTTAGAGAATGTACACACTTTTATAAGCAGCACCCGGATAAAAAATAGAACAAATAGAACATTTCCTTTATGCTTCTCCAGATTTCAGCCTTGATGCTCATCAAGTAGTTTTTCATATGCTTGAACTTTACGTAAAGAATTTTGCAGTATATTCTCCTTGGGGCTTGGATTATTATCCTTAACATTATGCTATATGAATTTAATATGATCATACTTTGTTTTTCACTGCTATGTAAGATTATGCAAGTCTACAATTCATTTATCCATTTCCCTGGATAAATGTCCAAGTGAACATCTGCTTACTTTTAGTTTTTATTATTTATAGTTTATATATATTTTGGTACACATATGTGTACAATGTATACACACATATTGTAGGATTGTATAGTTTTTTAAAAATCTTATATTTATTTGTTATAGGGTCTTGCTACACAGCTTGGACTTGTAGTGATCCTCCTGTCTCTTCTTCCCCAGCACTGGGATTACAGGTGTGCACCACCATGTCCCAGTTGCAGTGGCTGACTCAGCCCAGTGCCCACAGCATGGCATGTGATACTGGGAATCAAAACTAGTTCCTTGTGCTTGCCAAGCAGGCACTTAGCCGCCAAGCTATCTCCCCAGCTTACACAATATTTATTGTCTCTTATTCCTTTAAACATTTCTGTATTTCTATCTATAATCATTTTTTTTTCTTTTCTTTCTTCTTCTTCTTTTTTTTTTTTTCTTAACAGTATTTGGGATTAAACCCAAGAGCTCCTTACTGAGCCATAGCCCTAGCCCACCTGCCTTTTCTCCTTCTCCTTCTCCTTCTCGTCCTCCTTCTCCTCCTTCTTCTCCTCCTTCTCCTCCTTCTCTTCTCTCTCTCCCCTCTTCTCTTTTCCTTCCTGCCTTCCTTCCTTCCTTCCTTCCGATTTTGGAACAGAATCCTGCTAAACTCCTACATTGCTCCAGGTGGGTTTGAATTTGTAATCCTACTGCTTCTGCCTTCCAGAGTGCTGAGATTATGTTTGTATGCCATTGTGTCCAACTAATCATTTTTTTCTTTTAATTGAGTAGATTTACTTATAAAGCATTTTAAAAAAATGAAAAACACACAAAGAAAGTGAAACTGGCCATGTATGGTGGTGTACATCTGTGATCCCTACACTTGAGAGGCTGAGCCAGGAGGATGGAGACTTCAAGCCAATGAAGAGTTCTCTCAGCCATTAGCTCCATTTCCCAAATAAAAATGTACAACAGAACAACACTGATCATTTTCTTTAATATTTCCTTCAATAAATACAAAATGTTTGTCACCTCTCTGTAGTTTTCTTCTCTCTAGGATCTTAGGCCCTTCAATTCCTAATGTCTTGGTGCCTTCAAATTTATTTTTAATTTTACCAGGTTTTCTAGTTGTTACTGGAGGGAATAATGATATGTCCAGAATTTTCTGTCATAGCCAAAAGACATGGTTCAATTTTAATGTTTTAATTATTTTATTTTTTTAAATTGGTCCGTAAAATACTAATGGAAAATAATACATGTGAGCAGAATGTGGTAGCACGTGCCTATAATCCCAGCAGATAGGAGACTGAGGCAGGAAGATTGCTGCAAACTCAAGCCCAGCCTGGACTACATAGTGAGTTTAAGACCAGGCTGCAATACATAGCGAGGCCCTGTCCTTAAAAATTATTTTTTTAATTTTAAAAGGAAAAAAAAACACGTGTACAATAATAGTTACAAAAACAATAATTAAAAGTTTTCTTTCTCTCCCATGTTCTATGTAGTCTTATAGTCTCTCTGAAAGTAAAGTATTAGCTTACTATGCATCAGTTCATATATATAAAATCTTGTGTGCATATTTCATGTATATATGTATCTAGCTTATTAACTTTATAATTAACTGTATAATTACTAAATATTGCAAACATTTTGAAAAAAAAAGGTCAACCAAAAATTCTCATACTTATAGCCCTAGTTAACATTTCTCTTTAGATCCTCTTTTCTTTTGAGAGAAATAAAACATGATACAGTTAAATCCCTATTTTAAAAAATTACATTTTTGCAATTCTTCAGCAAGACTTTAAAAGTTTTGCCTGAATATAGATAGATAGATAGATAGATAGATAGATAGATAGATAGATGGATAGATAGATTTAATTTGTTTTATTGATACTCTTTTACTTACCTGCCAATCTATTTTGTTTTTTTGTTGGTGTTTTGTTTTGCTTGCCTTTTTAAACATAAATATTAACATGTTGTACATTCTGTTTTGGCCTTTTTTCACAAAACGTCTTTAGGTTTAAATTATGTAACACTAAGAAATTTTATTTTGCATCTTAAAAATTTAGAAAAAATAATTTATACTAGGAGACAAATTTATGAGTCCTCAATGTCCTGATACCACAGTGAAATTCATACCAAACATTTTGAAGAATTCTATAGGTATATCAAACCTTTGTTATATCTGCTTTTGATGTCACCCTGGTTTAAAAATAATCAAAGTAGGATAAATTGTAAACTAACCTGAACTCTATTTCTATATCTGATTGCTCTAGATATATTATTATGTAATATAACCTAAGTATTCCTCCTCAAAATTTTTCTTTTTCTCTCTTTTTTTTTCTTTCTGTATTTTAGAGAGGGGTGTACAGGGTGTTCAGGGTCTTATTACTGGATCAGACTTGTAGTGATCTGCTTGTTTACAGCCTCCCAATAGCTGGTTCTTAGGCTAAAAATGAAAAAAAGAAAAAAAAAAAAAAAGGAAAGGATGATAGGATAATACATATTGCCATTCTTAAAATACTTACAGACTTGCTAAATTAAAAGATGAGAAGAAAATGTATCTGACACTAAAGTACCTAAGCCAACTTAATAAGCCTTCTAAGTAAAGCATTAAGGAAAAACGAGAGGGCCAGCCAGATAGTTCAGCAGATCAAAGTGCCTGCAAGCAGGCACAGGGGCCGTGGGGTTTACAGGCACATGCCATCATGCCCAGTTTCAGTTGCTGTCTCAGTGTGCCCAGGGAGTGGGGCCGGCACGGCAGGCCTAGGGACCAAACCCCTGCTGCCTGAGCATGTTTGCAGGTGCTTTAATTTGCTGAGCTTTCTCCCTGGCCCTCTTCTTTTTTCTTAATGCTTTACTTGGAAGGCTTATTAAGTCAACTTAGGTACTTTAGTATCAGATAATGTTTTCTTCTCAGCTTTTTATTTAATTTAGCAAGTCCATAAGTACTTAAGAATGGTAATATATATCATCCTTTCATTTTTTTTTTAATTTTTAAGTCTGCCACTATTTTGATAGCATTTTAATAAGTTAAGGTTTATTGAATTATCTTATGGCCTTAGCACTTTGCTGAATATTATTGTGTAAATTAATGGAAATATAAGACAATATCTTGATCCATGTGGATGTTAAAAATTTAATTGACGGGAAATAAGCAGATCATTAGACCACACTAAAGTGTTAATGGTATAAGGTGATATTTAGATTGGACCATCCAAAGATTTGATTTTGGAAAGCAGAGAGAGGAAAATCTTATGAGCAAGAATTCAAATGTATACACTAGTAAAGCTTAATCATTGTGTTCTAGAAATTATATTTGGAATAATGGGAACTTAAATGGTAAATATAAAGTATCATCAGTAGTCCAGGAAGATTAAAGCTGATAAAGTAGACAGTAAGATGCCCATATCAAATGCAAGGAAGTTCGATAATGCAGTTACTATTTTGGGAAGCTGAGTAGAATAGAGCATAGGGAAGGAGGTCATATGGAAATTTGTGGAATTCAGCTTAAACATTATCTGCAGAATATGTTTGTGCCTGTTGGTTCACTAATTCCATTTCTAAGACTTGCAGGAAAATATTCCAAATGTTTGGTGTCTGAAAGGACAGAGAACTGAACCAGAGCAATTTTCCTTAAATACTGAGGATTGTCCTAATACTTTTTTGCAAGGAGCTGTCTTTCAGAGGGTCTTAGTAGTATAACTCCTGCCATACATTTCATTAATTACTTTGATTTAATCAGTCTTTTTTAAAGTCTTAACATTTCTCCATAATGATAATTTGTGTGACCTTCTCAAGTGTAATTTTATAATTGAAACTAAAAGACAAATTCTGGGGCCAGAGAGATAGCTCAGTAGACTAAGCACTTGCCTGGCAAGCACAAGGGCCTGAGTTCAATCCCTGATTCCACAAAAATAAATAAATAAACAAATAAATAAATAAATAAATAAATAACAAATTTTATTCTCTGAAGAGTTCAGATAGCTAGCAACAATACCATTTAACTTGAGGTTCCTTTTGTTTTGTTTTGTCTTATTTCAATTTTCACTATTTTTTTAAGTAAAGATAAAAAAGAAAAAAATTTATTGAAATGAGGAAATACTTTAAAACCTATTTTTCAGGGTATTTTTGTTGTTGTTGTTCTTCCATAGGCTACTTTCTGATACTAAACAGATGAACATTTTAAGAAAAGCAAGATCTTACATGGAACAGGGAGAGTTTGATGAAGCAGTAAGTACTTGGGCCTTGTGGGCAGAAGTGGCTGATTAGCATGTCCAGGTATGTGATGAGCATGTTGGGCAACCCAGGGAGCTTTCCTAAGTGGCTGCACTAGCCGTGAACCCATTGCTCTTTAGTTTAGATAATATTAGAGCACATTTAGGAACAGTTAGCAGTAGAAATGAATATCATTGCCATTTTTACGATAAGATACATTTCAAGGTATTCTCATCTCTTTTGTACAATATTTTAGAAAAGCACGTATTTGTCACTTATACCATCAGAAGCCTCATACTGAAGCTATAACTCTTCCTAACTCATACCCTACTGTGTTTTTCATTAATTCTTTTCTTTGTTAAATGATCATATAATTTGAAGTCAGGAACAAGTTCTGTTTTCATTTTCTAAAATTGTCTTAAAAATTGTCAATCTGTGTATTTCTACTGGTTTACTTTTATTATGGTTTTTAGATGACACTGTTTTTTTTTTTTTTTTTTTTTTTTTTTTTTTTTTTTTTTTTTTTGAGGTTATGAGCAGAATATATTTATTGTGAGAAAGAAAGCTCCTGTCCAAGACATGGACAGGAGGGGGGCCCGAGCGGGTAGTTCCCCCTATTCTCTTTTTTTAAAATAATTTTATTGAGAAACAAAATAGCAATGAGACAGTTTCAAAACTGATTAGTAGGAGAGTTTCAATAATTAATACATTGCATATTACTATCTTCTTAGTGGTTATTCATAGTACAAGATGCTAACATCTTATTCTGTCCAAACACTATTAGTACAAATCTTTCTTATGGAATTAAGAGGAAATAACTGTATATCTATCCTATTTTGTATATACAGATACAAAGTGGTCATTCATTTTTATCCCCTTTTTTTGTTTAGTTTTGTCAGAGAAGGGTCTTCCATTGTCATTTAAATATTGTAGATGCGTGAATTCAGCAAAATATTCCAATATAGTCCAGTAGCCCATAATAGTAGTGGGTCATCTGTAGGACTGCCAATGTCAGAAGTTGTTGACCTGAGATCTTTACAGCCTAGCATACCAACATGGCTTCACTCCTTATACCTCGTTTTTTTTACCTTTCTCCTGGATGGTTAAGACCAAGATAAAGCAAGACCTATATAACAAGAAATGTAACTTTTGTACATGATAAGGTCATTCAAGTCCCCTCAGGATTTATCCTGAAACCCTGTGCCGCACTTTGTAGATCCTTAATAACAAACAGTTCTCCTTTAAAATATTAAACCACTTTAGAGATGTTTTATAACACGTGGGTAATCTGAGAAAACAATGAAATATATATGGTTAATCATATATATGTTTAATGAGAGACATGCATTAGAAAAACTTCATCTTCTTTATTGTGTCAACTAAAGATCATTTCTGTAAAATGAATTATTTTAAAATACTTCATATAATTACAAAGTTTACTTTTTTCCATCATATTTGTCATCTTTTGCAAGAAGACCCTCAGACAATTAAAGTCTATTTTTAATCTAACATCTACAGTCAGTTACTACTGTAATTTACAACAGTGGTTTGACTGTTAGGAACTTTTCCATTTTTCTTTCTTTGAAATTTAGATTTTTTTTCTCTGTACCATATGTATACATATATGTATTTTTTTCTTTTCCTGTCATAGATCTCCCTTTGCAAGGAGCTGATTCATCTTGCACTGAAAGGATTGTCCTATTATCACACTTATGATAGATTCTTTTTGGCTACCAATGTTGTTATTGGCTTTGTGGGATGGACAGTTTATGCCTCTCTGTTGATCATCAAGTCTCATTCCAGGCTAACAAGATGTATTAGTAAAGAAGTTAAGGTAGGTTCAGAAAATATATTGAAGATTCAAAAAAAAGAGGGAAAATAAAATATATTGAAGATTGCAATGATGGCATGAAAAATTTCTAAGATTATGGAAAGAAATCTATTCAATCATATATTAAGTTTGTAGACTGTTACATTGCTATACTAAGGTGACTTATCTTCATTTGCTTTTCTTGTACTGGATCTTTTTTCTGTTAGCTCTATTTCTTCAGTTGGTAGGAAGATGTATTTATAATATTGACCCTATAGCCTGTCAGGACTATATCAAGATCTATATAAATGATTTAAATTCTCCTATAGTCTTAGTGATGCTGATTTTTCCTTTTTTTTTTTAATAACTAAACTTGTTATAGCTTTTTCATATCCTTATTGTACACATAATCAGAAAATTGCTTCAAAGCAGTATGCTTAACTTTAATGTTAAGTTTGGGAAATAGAAAACCAGTTATGGATTTTGATTACATTATCAGGATGCTATCACACCAACATCTAGACTAATGTTTGGATAACTAGAGACAATAGGTTGTCATGCTATGATATTTGAAGTTATTTAAAATTTTTGAATATTTTGGTTATATTTAGAGAACATTCTGATTCCTCTTTAGTGAGAGTTTAGTCTTGGGAATTGACAGAGTCTTCACAGTTCCATAGGAAGAATAATATGGAATAGTCTGTAGCATTAACTGAAGGGAGGCATGAAGGACAGTTAGAAGGTCAGAAAATTCCAACTGTGTGCATATTAGAATGTGATGGTTCAGGGAGCCTATGCAGAGGAAGTTGTTGCCACAGTGGAATCGTAAAGGATAGGTAGAACAGCCCCACAGGAACTAAAAAAAAAGAAAGGGGAGGAGAGATTTCAGCATGTGCCCAGCAAGGAGAGAGGAACATGATATCTTCTTGAAAGAGCTGCAAGTGGATACGGGGCTTATAGGAAAGCAATTTAAAACAAACTTACAACAATTATCCTACATTGCTAGATGAGGAACATATCTTCAGAAAAGCTACATGTTTTATTCAAATTGACTAGCAAATAGAATGGCAGTCTCAAAATTAGATTTGGGTCTGACTCCAAAGCCATGTGACTTCTATATGACTGTATCCCTCAGATTCTAGACATCATTTTTAATTTATTGCTGTTACAGGAAAGTACAATGACTAGTCTCTTTCCTAAAATGTAGTTTTTCACAGCTCCCCATATGAACTGTGCATTTAATTTTTTTTTAATTTTATTTATTTATTTGTGTGTGTGTGTGTGTGTGTGTGTGTGTGTGTGGCCAGCTCAGCCCACCAGGGGGCGGGGCTGGCTGGCATGTGGTGCTGGGGGATTGAACCGTGGTCCCTGTGCTTTGCTACACTTGTTCTAAGTAGGTGCTTTAGACCACTGAGCCATCTCACCAGCCCTGTGCACTTAATTTTGATATACTCTTAGCTTCTCTTTCGCTTTTGCTACATGTGATATCTTTAACTTTACAGTGAGATATTTTTTTCACATGCTTACTCTGTTGCTTTTCTTTGTTCTCATATTACCTGGAGAAATAAAAAAATATTAACCCCTTAAGTTATTTGGTCTCTACCTTTGTGATTTAAATTCCTTGTGTCTCCACCTGTATGATTTAAATTCCTTGAATGCCAGAACTCAGTACAGATCATAGCACGCAGTGTGTGACTTAATAAGTATCTTTTGGATAAAGAAATATTCACACAGCATAGTTAGTTGTTTCTTGGGAGAGGAGAATCAATTCAAGATTAAGTGGAAAATATTCTCAGTCTTATTTAAAATCCTTTCATTTTTTTTGCCTTAATAGGAAGAACAGAACCTAGATCTTCATGACGTAGTTTTCTATAAGTAGATAGATGTCAATTCTTAATCTTGTGTGTGTCAAAATATTAAGTAACCGCACTATACTGTATTGACCCTAACCTTTCAAATTCTTTTTTCAAACACTCAACCATTTCATTGGGGGGATGGTGTTGACAGTGCTAGGTATCAAACCTGAGGCTTCTACCACTGAGTTATACCCTCAGCCCTTCAGATACTGTTGTGAACTTTGTTTCATATTATTTTGCTATTTTTCCTCAGTTCTTACAATGAATAGGTGCCTTAGTCATTTTTAGCTTTAGAGACTTTTATCTCACACCTCTTTTAGTTTTGCTAAATAGGTATAACATTATTATTGCAATGTTATAGTTGGAGTAAAACTAAGTCTCAAAGCTTTGTATTTGCTCATATATTACACAGTGAGAAGGTATTAGATCCAGGAAATGAATTCTGATCTGTCTACCTCTAAACTCTTAGTTACAATCTATTTTAGCCCCTTTTTATAATCATGCCATAATTTATCCTTATTTCTTACTTTTCTGTGACGTTTTATGCCAGTATGGAAAAACAATGAGAAGGAAAAGATCTTCTTCCTTTTCCTCACTAAATTTCCTTATTTCCAGAAGGCACTTCTTAATTTTCACTTCATTTGGCATTAACAAAGCAAGAGGATAACAGAGTAAAAATTTGGAATGGAAGCAAAAGAGCATTACACTCCCTTTTTATTTCTGTTTATAACCTTTTTCTCTCCAGAGATACTTAATGTCTTCTAGAGTCCTTTATACTGTTTACCCCCTTCTAACACCTAGGATATGAATCCTAGCAGTTTTGCTTATAGTTATTCAAGTCACCCCATAAATGTGTCCTTTTCTGTCATTAGATGCCCATCTGTGGTCCTTTCCCATGATCTACAGCACCCTTTGGCCTGCCTAGCCCAGGAAGGCTCTTATTAGGGGCTTGCGCTGGGGAGGTACCTGGTTTTACGGGTGACCAATAACAAATATAAGTGAATGATCCTACTGTGATTAGCAGTGGAGAGAGAAGCATGGGCAGCAGCATGTGCAATTGGAGCTTGGATAAAACATTAGATGTAGGTTACATCTCAAAGTTTATTATGAATTAAATAGGTTTTTGTGAGCTAGCCAGACAACTCAGTCAACATTTGTAAAACCATTTTCTAGGAGCAAATATGTTCACATGTCTAACAGTCAGTACACAAAATTTCAGAGCTTTATCACTATAAGCTCAGAATTGCCTAGTCGCAACAACCCTAGGATCTCCATCTTTTTCTTCAAATGACAGGTGTTTGTTTGTTTGTTTGTTTGTTTGTTTTTAAACCTAGCTCTTAGAACCTTTGAAATAAAGTAATGTAGGGGCCAGGGAGATGGCTCAGTGGAATAAGCGCTTCCCTGGCAAGCACAAGGGCCTGAGTTCAATCCCCAGTTCCACCAAAAATAAATAAATAAATAAAGTATTTTCTCCATCTTGGTAAATCTCTTTGAAAAGCTATCAGTTTGTGTTTGGAAGTGTTTCAATATTTTGTTTGATTTTTCAGAAGCCAAGCCATCTTCTGCCATATTTTGTAGCTGTTGGCACTTTAGTAGCATTTTTCCTGCTGATTCAAGCCTGTCCCTGGACTTACTATGTATACTGTTTGATGCCAGTACCAATATGGTATGCAGTTCTAAGAGAGTAAGTAATACTACCTTATTTTTCACCTTAACAACAGTTATACCTGTGTTTAAAATGCATTCGATTTCTATAGCATAAGTCATCGAAGTTATTTATAATATTCTCAAATCTCCAAACTCTCTCGTTTCATTTATAAGTGAAAAAAATGTTGAATTAATACTCCTTTTTATTGTACCCTTTTGACTTCATTCATTACCTTTAGGTAGCAATGACATTGTTTCCTTCTTTGAGCATTGTTTATAAGAAAAACCTGAAATAAAAATAACATATCTACTATTGATTGTACAATGCCTAGCATGACTTACATTTTGAACTTATTTTATCATCTCAGGTTTCAGGATGTCTTTGTGTTTTATGAAAAAATTTACATGTTTTTTCCATAAATGTTTGCTCCTCCATTGTAGTCTTCATTTCATATAGAGCTAGGCAAATGAAATTTTAGTCAAGTCTAATACAGTAGTAACATACGCTGACAGAGATGAGCCTATATTATTGGCATGTGTTACATATCTACCTTTAAGAACTGTGGTTGGCAGTAGAGAGAGAAGCATGAGCCGCATGTCAGATTGGAGCGTGGATAAATAGAAATAGGGGGGCCGGGGAGATAGCCCAGGGCCTAGGTTCAATCCCTGGCTCTGCAAAAGCAAATAGAAATAAGTTAAGTCTCAAAGTTCATTATGAATTAAGTAGGCTTTTGTGAGCTAGTCAGATAACTTAGTTAGCATTTAAGTTGAACTTAAAATAATTTTTTACCACTGTGGAAAGGTTCAAAAGGAAGGCTTTTGGGTGAGTTCCAAGTACTGTCAGACCACTAAAATGAGGTACTAGTTCATGTTCAGAGGCAGCCACACTCATGTTACAAAGCTTATTGGTTTTTATAAATGTAAAAGCTAGAATTTATAAGCTAGAATTTAAATTTAGCTTTTTTCATGAAAGCATCCTCTCAGGAAACTATACCCCTAAAGCAGACCAGGGAATAAGAACCTAGGATAAGGACATCCTCAGAATTGACTGACATATATTGTGATACTGTGCAGATTTTTCAAATTTTTTTTTTTTTTTTTAAAATACTGGAGATTGAACTCAGGATCTTACACTTGCCAGGCAGGTGCTTAAGCCACTGAAAAAGTAATAGCTAGATCTTAGAAACAGCCCAAATGCCCATCAATCAAAGAATAGATTAAAAAATGTGGTATTTTTGTACAATGGAGTACTACTCAGCTATAAAGAAAGGTAAACTCAAGACTTTCATAGGTAAATGGATGCAAGTAGAGACAATAATCATAAGTGAAATAAATGAGTCGCATGTAAGCATTATATTATCTCCCTAGTATAGGAAACTTCAAGGATAAATAGGATCCTAAGGTATAATAGACATTGTAAAAAGGAAAGAAACTGCTCAAAATGGAAAAAGGAACTGGGATGGGGGAAAGGAGAAAAGGAATGTTATAGTCTATCTTTATCTTTTTGATAGGTTATATAGAAATTAACAAAAATTCAGCTCTCTTTTGGGAAAAACATCTTCTAAATAATTACATGGAATCATATTTTGTTCCTCTGTGCCTTTTCATGGTTGAGAGAACAGAAACATTCTCCTTTTGATGGCTGTTAGCTTAGTTTTCCTACTTGGCACCTTAATAGTTTGTGAACTTTCTGCAGCCATTTTTCTCAATCATTAAAGGTCATAAACCAAATACTACTGACCTTTTCAAATTGCCTAGTTAATATACTATAAATGCTAAAATTTTTCCTCTTGTTAATGAAACACAAAAAGTACTCAAGTATGTAATTCATTTCTTGTGGTTATAAATTCACAATTAGTGTATAATTAATGATATCTTAAATTGGGTTTGGAAAGTGTTATTTAGCTCAATTTAAAGTTAAAATTTTCCCCACCTAGATAAGGAAAATTTACTTTTATTAAAACCATTGAGATTTTTAATATAAGGTTATCTAGGTAAATTTTAAATGTTTTTTTAATTTGTGTATATTTGGGTTCATTAAATTTTATTTCTGGTATGTCTAGTTTTATATACATATGTTTAAATGAAGATTAAATAAGAAATTTATTATTACTGATGTTTATAAAACCAAGCAAACCTTTTTGATCAGTTTCAAATTAATTCAGAGATTATATTTTTCCTAAAATACAGATTTTTTAAAGTATTAAGTAAAGCCATTGAAATTAAGGTATTAGATTATATTATCTTAATTTCTGAATAATCTGTAAGAAAATTCCCTGATTTTTGGTTTTGTATAAGTTTTCTTTTTTAGTATATATAATTTTCAAATTAACTATATACTATAAAACTTTTTGTAATCTTTTGAAACAGGTTTCAAGTTATTCAAGATCTTATTGCATCACTGTTGACCTTTTCTCTGAGCCATTTTATTGGGTACTTGTTGGTCTTTATGTTGGGAATTGAAATATTAGTAAGTAATATACCAATTGTAGTATTTTCAGATTTGTTTGGTATGTATGTAACAAGTATTAAATAACCTCATTTTTAATTTTTCTTTGCAATGTATCACTAGATTCTCAGTTTTTTCTACCGCTGTATGCTTACAGCTGGACTCACTGCATTTGCGGTTTGGCCATTTCTAACTCAGCTGTGGACTCGTGCGAAGGTATAAATAACTCATTTATACAGAGATTAGTAACTACTTTGTTTTGATATTTGTTTAATTCAAGGAATTGCTTTTTGTTTTTGGTGGAACCAGGGATTGAACTCAGGCCCTTGTGCTTGCCAGGGAAGCACTTATTCTACTGAGCCCTCTCCCTGGGCCCCCTGATTATTTTTAAACAAAAGGATAAAGTTTATCCTTACATGGAGGACTTAGTGCTTTTGATAGAGGGCCAGCTTTAAGTTTCAGTGATCAGCGTTAAGTTTCAGTGATTTATAATTTCACATTAAAATGAGCCAGTTTTGCGGTATTTGAAATGCAAAAGAAGCAGTGATTCATCTTTCTGTGAGGTATATCTCTGTTTTCCTTTAATTTTTGGTGTCTAGATTGAGAAGGAATAGAGCAGCACAGTGGCTTCAGAGTCAGAGGTGTCACCCTTCCTCTGGCCCTGAGCAATTCATTTATTTTTAATAGAAAAGTATATGTTCATAGCAGATTTTTAAATACATAATTCTGATTTTTATCCTTTAGGCAAGGATCTACAATATACTTCTACAAAGAATATTCTTATGTTTTCATCTTGATACTTTTAGATGAAGGTAGCAAGAAGATAGAAATATCTTCTTTGTACCGTATAAGAATTTGTAAAAATCTCCAGTGGACTTAACTCATCATATTTGTCTTAATCTACTTATAAAAGTAGTTTTTCTTATGTCTCTTTTTGGCTTAGTTGTGTTATTATTATTATTATTATAGGCCCATTTTTATACAGTTGTTATCATCAACGTATAATGTCATATGACCTGAATGGGGCACTTGCTTTGAAATACCAGACCCCAGGTTAAATCCTGGCTGTTTCATTTGCTAGTTGTGGACCTGCTATTACTTATAAGTTACTTACTTTATCTTCTCTGAGCTCAATTTTTTTTTCTTTCTTTTTTTTTTTTTGTACCAGAAATCAAACTCACGACCTTGTACTTGCTAGGCAGGCACTTATGCCACTGAGATGTATCCATGACCCCTCAATTTCTTCATTTGAAATGTTATATTTGCTTTTTGAGGTTGCTGAGAATGGAAAGAGATAATATTCATATTGAACTTAATATAGTACCTATTATAAAAATCTCTTCATAAAAATAACTATTCGTTTTTAAAGTAAATTTGCTATATAGTTTTACATTTCCTTTTTAATTTCACATATAATCTATGAAACATAGAAAACAGTTTTCATAATATATTTGGCTAAACATAATTTTTTTCTTGATTTTAGATCACCTCCCTGAGTTGGACCTTCTTCTGTTTGCTTCTGGCAGTGTTCCCACTGATGCCTGTCGTAGGTCGAAAGCCAGATATCTCTCTAGTGTATGAGCAGTATTTTCATTCCTTTTCAATATAATTTTTTCAATCAGTACCCTGAAATTTAAGCCTAATTTTATGAGCTTAAAGTCACATAAATAAACTGAAAATTAAAATATTAATATCAAGCTACTAGTCATGATTTTAGCCTAGGCCTGAGCATTAGTCTCTTTGGCTTCTTGGCTTTCACATACAATGAAATTCTTCCAAAGATAACTTAAAATACCAAAAAGAAGCCTACTTTTAAAAATTAAATAAATAAAAATAAAGGAATTAATGAAAATTTTAGTTTCATATGAGAAAATGTTCTATTGCTAAATAAAAAAGACTCAGAAACTATTGTGATACTCCATCTTTGCTTTTGAGCATGTTTGTACGATCTCTCTTAGAAAAAATGAAAATTTCTTCCTATCTTAGTCTGAATATAAATATTTTCTTGGAAGGAACTTACTTTGAGTACTATTCCATGTTTAGTCCTTCATATGTGTCCTCTTACTTTCCCTGGATTCCTCCTATTTCTCCTCAATATGAGACTGAATTAAGTCTGTTAAATAACGTTATGTTTGTTTTTATTGTAACTTTAAATTATTGTTACGCTACCACACATAGGTTAAATAGTTAAATAACCTGTGTATGTCACTGAGCTGTGCTCATATCATTGAACATTTTATTTTTTAACTATGTAAATATTTTTGTTACTTTCTTCTGAACTCCATAAGCATTTCAAAACATTTAACCTAATTTAAAAGTTTAGAGCATATCTTTTTTAACAGAATAAAAGCTAAGTATTTATGTATGTAATAATTTAAGTTGTTCTATGCCTTTCTGTCATCAGTGTTAGAGAACCAATATGCATTAGGTCAGGAACTATCCCAGGAAATCAGTTTATTAGCACAGCCAAAAATAATTATATTGAATACTAAAAGCATATGTTACTAAAACATTTTACAGATATTATGAACTATAAATATTTGTGACAAAAGTGAACTGAAATATTTGCATTTATTTCTTGCAAATTGCTCTGTGAGCTCTTGTGTTGTTTCTGTGAAGCACCTTTCTTTTATCAGTCCTACTCAAGCAGTATTGACACAGTTAAACAGAATTTATCATATGCTAAAAGGAAAAGAAATTGTATAAATGATCTTCATAGTTATTTTCCACTTGTTTGTTTTGTTTTGCATAATGTATTTGGTACAGGGTCTCACTGCGTAGCTTGAACTCATAGTAATCCTCCTATTTTCTTCCTCCCCAGTGCTGGGATTACAGGGGTGCATTACCACACCGGGTCTCAGTGGTTCAGTGTGCCTGGGGAAGAGCCGGCACAGCATGCTGGTTCCTGCGTTTTCCAGGCAGGCACTTAGTCCGCTGAGCTATTGCACCAGACTGCTTGTTGTAGTAAGATGAATGCAGGAGGCAAATAAATCTATTAAAATATAAAAATACAATTTATGCTTTATTTTATTTTATTTTATTTTTCTACAGTTTTATTGATAAGCAGATAGCAATATGCTTTATTTTAATTATATTATTTTACTCTATAAATTTTAATTGTTCAGTATTTTTAAAATTTATGTTGGTTTCCTCCTAGCTATATTTATAACATTTTTATTTTGATTCCTGGTTTATGGAGAAATTTTTTCCTATTTGATCTTTCATAGCAATTCCATATTTTAGAAAATTATAGAGACACATATGTAAGACATTTAATGATGAAATTTAGAGGCAAAAATAGAACTAATACAGCTACAATGTCCCTGTCACTCCACTCCATTAAAGTAAAAAAGTTTTTTGCCAATGAGTTGAAATGCCTTAATGTTCTTAAAAATGAAAGAGATAAAACAATCTTCATCATATTTCCTTGTTTTAATATAATCCATGTTGAATATGTTAATACTTCTATTATTAAGACTCAAAAGTACATTTAAAGCATCAAAAACAAAGATCAAACAATTTCCTGGGGATTCGTGCTTCACATTCTCTTCAGGTAGCAAGCCATGACTTTTGCTTTTGTTTCTTTTAATCCAGTGTCTTTTCCCTTAGTCATGGTAGTTTTGAGCTCCGGATTCTCATTTGAACAGCCTTTAGTTGTATTTTGCTCTTCACATTTTAGGAGGAGAAAGAGATAGAACTCAACCGTAATGCAGCACTTCCTTGCTATCAGTCACCACTGACTTCTGGAAACATTCTAATCTGGTGTTTTATTTTGTTCTGTGAAGGATTTCTTTTCTTTTCTTTTCTTTTCTTTTCTTTTCTTTTCTTTTCTTTTCTTTTCTTTTCTTTTCTTTTCTTTTCTTTCTAAGATAGGACTTTACCTATATATATCAGGTTGGCCTCAAATTTGCAGTCCTCCTGCCTCAGCATCCTGAGTACTGGGATTAAGGAGTGGTTTACTATGCCTTTGAAAACTATCATCTGTTGTTCATCACTGGATATACTTAATTATACTAATATGCTATTTGTCCTGCTGGAAATCATTTGAATTATAAATGTAGATCTTTTTTATATGACTAGGTACCCACAGTCATAAACTGTATGTCATAGATGCTAATCATGTATTTTTAACTTTCTTTCATTATTTTCTGTAAATTTCACCAGTTCAGATTAAAAGTTATGTTACTTGGTGTGTATAACTTAGTTACTTTTCTTGTTGCTAAGACAAAATACCTGATGCTCAAAATTAAAGGAGAAGAGGTTTATTTAGTTCACAGTTTGTGGAGGTTTCAGTTCATAATCAGCTGGCTCCAAGACAGGGTGGCTCATGGCGGGGGTGCAACAACAGTTCATGTAGTAGAAGACAGCAAAAGCTACAAGAACAGAAAGGGAGAAACAAACTTCTTTCTTCTCCTTTTGTCTTTTTTATGAGGATTAGGGAAGTAGCAAACTAATCAGTGGACTGATCCAGCCATCAATCACCCAACCTTAATTCCTGTACCCTTAATCCTAGCATTGCACAATGAATCAGTCACAAATTGTAGATTCAGGTGCTTCCAAATAGTCCACCCCATGACTGCATGAGGCATTAGGGGGACATCTAAACACAAACTATAGCAGTAAAATTTTTACAGTTTTAGTTATAGAAAGAAGATAAAGATACTAAAAATAATTGTATCTTTATTTCAGTATTTTTCTTATTTCCTATTAAGCCTGTCTATTCATTTTGCCACTTCATCTTGATTAACAAAATGATTAAGAAGCTCTACATCAGAGTTAGATGCTTCATTACATTACATTAGAGTTAAAGGTTTCATATGATATATCCAGTAAATATCTTAAGAAAATTTAAATTATCAATTGTATTTTGAAACAGAATGGCTGCAGGTTTGCTGGTTCTTCTACTATCCCTGTTTGTTGTGACATCTCTTATGAAAAGAAAAATTAGCTTTGGAAAGGAAGAGTTATTGATATATCTGTTACAGGTAAGTCACAGATTTTTCAGTGCTGTTATTCTAATGTTATGCAAAAGTGATCATAGAGTTGTATTTAATCGGTCCATAAGATACCATCGTGGGGGCTGGTGAGATGGCTCAGTGGTCTAAAGCACCTACTTAGAACAAGCTAAGCTAAGCAAAGCACAGGAACCGCGGTTCAATCCCCCAGCACCACATGCCAGCCAGCCTCGCCCCCTGGTGGGCAGAGCTGGCCACACACAGATACAAAATAAATAAATAAATATTAAAAAAGAAAATATATCTTTAAAAAAAAAGATACCATCATGTTATCTGTTGCCAGCTAAGAGAAAGTTTTCTGTTTAAGTACTACACAGAAATATGTTCTCTAAAATGTAAAAAATGAAAAAAAAAAAAAATGTCAACAAGAAGAAACTGAAAGATGTCTGGAAAGAAGAGGCTGGGAGTCTTATAAGACCTCTCTACTAACCAGAACATAAATGAAAGAGTTTCCAGTGTGCCAAGTGTTTGTGTAGTCCTCTTTTAAGGGAAGTCTTCGAAATAAAAGCAGCCTGGGATATATTTATATGAAGAATACCTAGTTTAAGACTTCAGATAGTATGCTACAAGATAAACTTCCGCTTGGATGGTGGCTTTGGTGTAATGAAAAGAACTTTAAACCTCATGTTTCAAATTTAGGCCAATTCCCAATTATACTGCATGCTAGAAGTGCAATTTTTAGTAATCTGACCTTAATATATTTCTCTTAATCTATAAGTAGAGATAATATCTAATAGAGTTTGTGAGAATTAAATTATATATATTATATGAATTCCTTTTTACTGCAGATAAGATTGGAAGCCATTTTTTTTAAAGCGTGTAAATAACCACATCTAGAATATGGACACAAAATTAAATTTGTCAGTCTTCTTAAAAAATCCCTCATACAAAGTTGGAATAATAGAGAACACAGTATTTCCAAAAACAGTCTGAAATAAAAATATACCATGCTGAAAAGATGGTATTACAAGCTAAATTTGTTCTTGCAAAGCAACAGAGAACTTATAGGAAAGGAAAAATACTTTGTCAAAGATCCTGTCAAGCCACCAAAACATGTTTTATTTTAAATGGTACACTGACTAAGGTTACATTAAAGCCAGAGTGGCTTTGACAGAATTCACCTATAATAATAACTTTGATGGAAGTGAATGTTTCTGACTCTCTCTCTAGAGAAGGAAAGAATATGTTAACATTCTTACAGCTTTATTAGAAATATCCAAGTGTTTGATAAGTCTATTATAAAGCTCTTTTTTGCCTTTGCTTTATTAGTTTGCATTAATTCCTGTACTGCTTGCCTTATTTTATTGATTCCAATGTACTTTTTTTTTTGCATTGTAATATCTCTGAAGTGAATGTGCCTTAAAATTGAAAGAATCCTAGAATTGTGTCATAGCTTTATTAACAGCAGTTTTGTTTCCTTTTTGTTTTTTGGAATACAAATCAAACTTAGGACCTTGTGCTTGGCAGGCAAGTGCTTGTACTGCTGAGCAATATCCCTGCTCCAGTCTTGCTTCTTATTTCACTGAAAATATAAGTGTAATTAAATATAGCTCTTAGAATTTGGTAATAAGACTGCCAATTTGAACTAAGGATTTTGTTTGGAATCATAATTTAGGAGCTGGTGACATAGCTCAGTAGAATAAGTGCTTGC